CCAGGGTGTCAACCCTTCTTACTGCAGTGTACCTTAAAAAAACCCTCTCTTAAAAATAAACAACTTCAATGGCCCCCTTGGCCACACTTAATACATGCAAAAATATGGTAATTGTGTCCACGGCCAGCACATTTGCCCTTGATTGATACAAACTCAGTGTGAGGAGGAGGAGGAGGCAGGTCACCTGAGGAGCCTCTATGACCCAGCACCGCAGCTGGCAGACAGTGTCTGCTGTCACTGTTAAGCTCTGTCATGTAGCTTGCCTCTGTTTCTCCATCCACTTGGAAAAATAAAAAGGGAAAGACTGGTCTTAGAGCATTGTTTTCCTGGAGCCAGGGCCTCCTCTAGGTGATATCACAGCTCCCCGAAGGTCTAGGCTCAAGTCAACCCCTCCGTGAAGTGGAAGCTGGGGACACAGGATGGAATCCTGTCATGTGACCTTGGGCAAGCTATCAACCTCTGAGCTCAGATAAGGATTAAATGAGAAAGTGTTTGTAAAAGAGCTACATGGCACAAACTGTCCCACAAATCTTCATTAGTATTGTTATTATCTGTTGTTCTAGACCAGAGAATGAATAATTTCACCCAGTCATTGCACCCCCATCCCTTGAGTGCTGGCAGGCTACATGGAATTCAACATCTGCCTCTCCGTTTTCAGACCCCAGCACAATATCACTTACATGATAGACCTTCCCCATTGGCCCTGAGCAGAATTCATATTTCTCCCTCAATGCCCATGATGCCTGGTCTATTATTGACCTAAATTCACTAGGTCTTATTTATTCATCAAAGCAGCTTGTCTCCCCTTCCAGTCTGAACATCTTAAGGGCTATGGCCCTGTTATATTCATCTTTATTAGCTTTGGCATCTAATGGCAACTGGCATATAGTTGCTGCTCATTATATGTTTGTTGAATGAATGCATAGATGAATTGAGTAATTAACACCATGTCCCCTGATGTTCATGCAATTTTATAAGCTGCTCCCTCCATGAGGCCACATTCCTGACCTCATAGTTCAGAAGCATTCTAGTGCTATCCAAGCATGACCTGCCTGCAAACTATTTGTCGCCAGTCATGACGAGGTAGATGTAGAAATTGAAAGTAAGCATGTAAAAAATTTTAAGCAATTTGATAGAGTAGTTTTATGTCTATTGGATCTAATAATTTTTAAAATTGGGCTTTTGCTTTGTATTTATTTATTTATTCTTATTTTTGTAAGTCATGAGATCAGAAATTATAATAGATTACAGTTACTGAGTTCTTATTATGTTCTGAATATTAGGTTTGTGTGTCTTTCTCGTTGCTTCCTTTTTCGAATAATTCAATTCCTACAATATTTTGCAATCGTATAATTCTGCAACAGATTATAAATTTAAAAATCAAGAACTGACTTTTAATCACAAGTGTTCTGAGACATACAGCTCCAGACCATGGACCTCACTGGTTAAGCCAACGGCAGAGGAGGGCTTGCTCAGTCCCCTCTCACTGGGTCCCACCCATCACTACCTGTTTTCATATCTGTCTCTCCTACTGTTTGGAAGGACATGGCATTGTCTTTTATTCCTGTTTGGATTCCTCATATTTCTCTTTTCTTCCAAAACTGGCTGGTTCAATGGATGAAAGCTGACTCTGGTCTGGGCTCGGACAGGAAGAAGAGAGGGCAAGGGAGGGGTCCAAAGAGAGTTTGGGAAAGGTCTGGCTGGGAAGATGCTAAAACGGAGCAGAAGGCAGTCCTAAGAAGAATTGGAAAGGCTGCTAAGGAGACCACCCTGAGCCATTAGGCTGACTGGCTGAAGCGGCTGGGGTTGAGGAGTGGAAGGGCAGAAAGGGCCTTTGAAAGTGGGAGGAGGCAATTTCAGGACAAATGAAAAGGGATATACAATCCTTTTACAGAAGGAGTATTAAACCTCAGGCTGTCATAACCCCCCCCCCCCCCCCACCGCCGTGGTGGTCAAAACTATAAATAAGTAGGTCATGGAGAGATTCAGAAGGCCCCCTCTTTCCACTCAGGGGTGGAGTCAGTGTGGAGGTTAAGTCAGTGAAATCAACACAATCAACTGGAGGAGAAGGGGCAGGGGGATGAAACGCGCCATCTGTAGTTTCCCATTTAGAGAGAGAAGGTCTGAATCCCAGGCCAGAAAAGGCCGGAAGAGCAAGACTTGATTACAGCCTGATCGATGGCATTAGCATATTTAAAGATCATGTCAAGGAGAGAACAGAAGGGGCTCGGAAAGGCAAAATGGTGTTTATTAAGCACAGAGAAACAGAATCTGGAAATCTGGAGCTATCTGGTCCTTGGAGAGTCAGCTCCAAGGTCAAGCAAGGCTGGGGAGCAAGGGCTCTGCAGGGCTGGGCAAACCTCGCTTAGGACCTGCCAGCTTCCTCTCCTCTGATTCCACAGTCCATCGCTACAGTGACCTTCTCATCAAGAATTCAACTTTCCACAAAGGACTGCCTAGGGGGAGGGACTGCGCTGCCCATGCATTTGAGCATCTGGTCCACTCGATGATGATGATCATGGTGGTGGTGATGGTGGTAATGACAGCTAACCTTCATTAAGCCAGGCATCATTCCTAGCCATTTACAAATATCAACTTGTTTAAACCACCGTTTAACCTATGAGATAGGTATTCTTAGCTCCATTATAGAGATGAGGTATTTGAGGCAGTATTAGATAAGTTTCCAGGTTCATGCTTGTAAGCAGAAGAGCCAAGACTTATACTCGGGCTGACTCCAGAATCGAGTGTGTGCATGTGTGCTAAGTCACTTCGGTCTTATCCCACTCTTTTCGACCCTATGGACTGTAACCCACCAGGCTCCTCTGTCCTTGGGATTCTCCAGGCAAGAATACTGGACTACCTTGCATTTTATTTTTGTTGAAAACAATAAATTGGCAACATAGTTGGCGCATCCATCTCTTTGGAATTAGTTGGGGTGAGTCTGTGTCAAGCTCAGCACGACCAGCTCCAGTGGCTCAGATGGTAAAGGATCTGCCTGCCAGTGCAGGAGACCCTGGTTCAGTCCTTGGGTCAGGAAGATCCCCTGGAGAAGGAAATGGCAACCCACTCGAGTATTCTTGCCTGGAGAATTCCATAGACAGAGGAGCCTGGCGGGCTACAGTCCATGGGGTCACAGAGAGTCAGACACAATTGAGCAACTAAGCACACACACAACCAGCCAGGGGTTTTTGAGACTCGGGACCACGTGCCTCATTTAGAAAGTGCCAACCAGTGTAGCTAAGCCAGTGTGACTGGTTGGTTTCCTGGGCACTGCCCCTCCCTACTTCAGAGCCCCAAACCCATCAGGTCCCAGCCCTGGGGACACTTTGAGCTGGAAATCACAAGGCTAAGAACTAAGCTTACCAGCTATGTGAGTGTGGACAGGCCACCACCCATCTATGAGCCTCAGCTTCTTCACAAGGCATCTTACAATAACTCCCTGTCTAAATGAAGAAACAGTTGGACACATGAATGTGCTGAGAAGTGGGTGGAAGGAAGGAGGCTGGTGGGCGCGGCAGTGCACAGAATCTCCAGGGAGGTTAGATTCTGAGTTGGGTTACAAAGTCAGCTGACCACCATTCTGGGAGTGTGGTCCACCCCAGGTGCTCAAGCTTTCTGGTGAGGGGTTGCTCCTGGCGCTGCAGGAGGAGGATCTGCGGGGTAGTTACATTTTTTAACCCGCCTTTCGGCTCTGGTGGAAGGAAGGAAGACACCGAAGTCAAAAGTCTGTCCATCTGGAAGAGCTGGAGGGGAAAGTCTTAAGGGGCTGGAGAAGTCAGGAGCTGCTTCCCAATGCTGCGGGCGGGATGGGGAGCAAGGGAGCCAAGCTGGATGGAGGCCAGGAGGTCTGGCGGGACGGCTGACTCTACCCTGAGCACTCGACCGAGAGGGGGCGCTGTGGCCTCCTCCTCGCCCAGTTCGTTGGGTTCCCAGCCGCGATCCCCTTCTGCAGCGCAAGGCGCGCTCGCCTTTCCCCCTCCTCCGCTGTCAGAGGGCGGCTAGTCAGTCCTGCCCGGCACCGCCATCTCGCCTGCTCTTGGTATTCCTAGGTTCAGCTCCTTGCCGGGACCAAACTGGGCAGGCTCTTAGTAGAATGAATTTACGAACGAATGAATGAATGAATGAATGAGAAGGGTTCCTCCCTCAGAGCAGTCATACCTCAGCGCGCTCCTGGCGTGGAAGTGCCAACGGCGCGGGGGTTTGGCCCTCGCCCCGCTGAGGTGGGGGCGGCGGGGACTTTCTCCCCGCCCCGCGGCAGGGAGAGAACTGCCCGAACGCAGCGCCCAGCTTCACCCGGCTTCCGCGGCGGCACTGCTCAGTCCGGGCTGCCCTATTCCCCAGCCTCCAATAGCTCCTCTCTTATAGATTCACCTGAGCCCCCCAGGACCCCCTCAGACTCCCCTGGACTCCTCGGGCCCCAACCTGAAATCCGGCGGGAGGAGGGAGGCTGCCTCCTCTCCCACCCCCCCCCACCCCCCGCCGCCACCTCCCCAGCTTCTCCTCGGGCTGCGGCGGCCGCCAGCGCTGCCAGTGCGCCCCGCCGATTGCCGCAAACCCGGCTCAAGGAAAGGGGGTCAGCGCCGCTAGGGCGCGGGGAGCCGCCCCCGGAACGAGCCGGGCCCGAGGAGGCGGGGCGGAGGAGGGAGCGGAGGGGAGGGGAGAGGAAAGGAGGGGAGGGGACGCCTAGGCGAGGGGGCGGGGAGTCGCGGCGAGTATCGGCTCGGACCGAGGGGGAGACGGCGGGGGCGAGGCGGGCTCCCGGCGGGCGAGAGGCGACTGCGGGCCGGGCTGAGTCAGGAAGCAGCGGTTGGACTTGACCGGGAAGGGGAGAGCGAGAGCCCGCCGGGCCGGGCTGCGGAGCCGGGGAGCGCGGAGCCGGGCACCTCCGCCACCGGCGGCGACACAGAAGCCCGGCTCCCACCCCGCGCAGCCCGAGCCCGCCCTTGCCGGGATGTCCCGGGGACCCAGGCATCCAGCACGGTGACCGAGTGAGCCCGAGGATGGGACGGCGCCCGCAGCTCCGGCTTGTCAAGGTAAGAGCGAGCCAGTCAGCCCTCGAGCAGCGGGGCCCCCCAGCTCCGGGCGCTCGGGGCTGGCTCCGTGGGTGTGATGCTGTGGGGGGATTGGGTATCACTGAGCAGAACTGTGTCCAGGTCCGGGGGCGGCCGGGGTTTAAGGGTCAGGCCAACTCCCTCTTCCTGGACCTCTGGAGCCGGCGTTGGGCGGTAGGGAGAGAACTCGGGGTGGGGGGTGGGGGGTATGCAATCATTGTGGCGAAGCTGCGGGGATGCTGGCTGGTGTTGAGGGGTGGGGATGGGGGGTTCCTCCCCCCCGGGCAACCAGCTCTGCGAGGGGAATCGCTCTAGGCTTTGGGAACCGACTCAGGGTTCCTCCTCCCATCCGTCCTGTGTAGACCGGGGTCCCGGGACAGGAAGCTCGAATGGGGGCGGAGGGTTTCGCATCTGCCCCAGCGCGCCCCCGCCCTGTTCCTGGGAGCTCCTCCCTGCCCCTGAAAGTCCGGGGAGATAAATGTCCCCCGCGCCTGCAAGCCCTGGGTCAATATCGCAATCTCCGGAGAGCCGACAGAGCATCCGGCGGTAGTTACCGTTCCTCCGCCGCTGCCGGCCCACCCGCGGGAGCGCAGCGCTCGCTCTGCGGTCCTTTGCACTCGCGGGTCCCTGTGCCTGCTCGCTCCTGTCCTGGCTCTAGCGACGCAATTCCTGCGCCCGGAGTTTAGGAAAGTCGCCAGATCTCACGTCCGGACAGATCTCACGTCTGTCCGCCGAAGTTCGGGGGGCGGTGCGAGGGCTCCCCTTGGGCCTCAGGGAAGCTCTGGGGGGTCGACACCCGGGCCCGCAGCTAGTGACAGCTGCCACTTGCAGGTGCCGGGCGATTCCCAAAGCGGTTCGCCTTGCGGGGTGTAGGCGCGCGGGCAGCCGCCCGAGAGAGTGGTGGGTGAGCCTCGGCGCCGCCGCCGAGGAGCGGTGCGAGGCTCTCGCCTGAGGATCCCGACTCCGCAGGGTCAGAGTGAACAGCCTGAACACAGACAGTGGCTTGATAGGATTCAGCTCATTTAAAAAGCGATTACACTCAAAAGAATGGATTTGGGGGAGGGGTGTGTGTTGACTGATTTTCATTTTTCTATCAGTTATTAAACCAGCTGTACGTATGTAGCACACAAAGTGATCTGAGTTAAACCACCAAGATTTAAAACTGCAACTGCTGCTTGGTCATCAATTGAGATGTTATTAGTTACCGAGGTTTCCTCTATTCCCTCAGTCCCTCTCCCGAATAGTTTTGTTAGTGTTTTAAAAATGAGTAAAGGTTGGTCTGATTAAACCCATATCCCCTCCACCACGCCTTAACTGAGGACTAGGGGAAACCCAGAATTTATTTTCTGGGTGATCAGGGAGACCCAAGGAGGGAAGCAGGAGGAAAAACATCCAGAGAGCTTGAATAGACGGCACTGAACAGGAGTATTTTCCCAAAGGCTAATGGCAACCCACTCCAGTATTCTTACCTGGAAAATCCCATGGACGGAGAAGCCTGGTAGGCTACAGTCCATGGGGTCGCAAAGAGTCAGACACGACTGAGCGACTTCACTTCACTTCACTTCACTGTGTACCAAATCTGGGTCTAAATTTACAGAACAGAAAAAATTCAGAGTTTCAAACAGATTCAAAGGGTTGAACTGTAGGTTTTTGTTTTTGAGTTTACATGGTAATAGGTAAATGTTCTTTCTCTGGACTTTCTTTGAATCATGTGCAAATTTCTGCTTAGCATTATGATGCTTTTCTAAAAGAAAAAATTTTTCTCTTACTGCTGTCGTGTGTGTTTGTGTGTGTGTGTGTGTGTGTGTGTGTGTGTGTGTGTGCGCGCGCTAGCATGCTTCCTGCTAGGTCTTGAGATGTGTGCCCTTTATGTCTGGCCTAATGAGCTCAGTAGGTGCTCAGTAAACGCATACTGAATGAGTAAGACTCAGTGAATGAATGGTCAACTAATGCAATTTCATTTAAATAATTACTTTCTTCTTTTATTTGTATGGGATATACAACTTGTTGGGTAGTGTTCTACCTGCTTGATACATATTAAGTCATACTGTCCTCCTAACAGCTCTGGGAAGCCGAAATTATTCCTGAGCATAGGGAGGCTCAGTAACTTACTCAAGGTCATGTAGCCAGTGAATGGTGGAGCCGGAATTCAAACTCAGGCACTTCAACTCTAAGAATTTCTTTTGTTAGCTTTTACCAGAAAATATTTGAAGCCACCAAAATCTCCTTGAATTCTGCCAGATGAGAGATAACTCAGGTTGTTTTGTCAGTATGAACTTCTGAACCTAGGTGGGTGGTCATGGTTGATGGTTTAGTCACTAAGTTGTGTCTGACTCTTGCAACCCCATGGACCCACCAAGCTCCTCTGTCCATGGGACTTCCCAGGCAAGAAATACTGGAGTGGGTTTCCATTTCCTTTCCCGGGGGATCTTCCTGACCCAGGGATCGAACCCACATCTCCTGCATTGGCAGGCAGATTCTTTACCTCTGAGCCGCCAGGGAAACCTGAATCTAGGTGGGATTCATCCAAAATGCGACTCTGCCCTCAACAAGGCAGCCAGTATCAGGAAAAGTGGGAAGGATCTGCTCTGGGGCCCCTGTTGTGAGTATCACACTGTACTGACTACAGAGAACTGGGGAAGAATGTGTGCACATGTGCATGAGTGAGAATGTGTGTGTATGGGAGGGGCCTTGTGTATGTCAGTGAGGGAGAGAAGATAAGCATCTTCATAGAAGATAATCTATGTGGATGTCAAGGGGACAGGTAAAATATGGTCTCTATCCCCAGGGGAGGGCCAGGGACAGAGCACCTCTGAGTCTCCTACCCAACAGCCACGGATCCTTGCAGGGAGACTCGAGTGTGGCTCAGAACAGCAGGTTTGGTTGAGTGTGAAAAGTGGAGAAGGCAAGGCCTGGTGGGCTATTGGGGGAAGTGAGTTCCACAGAGAAAGCTGGTTTTATGGCTGTTGTCATAAAGCAATCTAACAGTATTACACAAAGTTTGAAAACCAGAGGGGAAAATTATTACAATCTTTCCATCCTAACACAGCTATAGTTGCCATTTTAAAAATAATCCCTGCAGGGATTTTTTTTTTTTAAGTGCACATTTGGGCATAGCTGTGGCCCTTGGGAAAGTCCTCTCACTTACCGTCACAGCCCAGGTCCGTCCCGTGTTGTTCCAGGGCCTCAAGAGGGAGAACCTCAACATCTCCGTGTTCCCTGTGAGGGGATGCTTTGTTGCCACGTCTGTATCCCGGCACTTCGGGGCCATTTCTCAATTGCTTCTTTGACAAATAATGTGGAGCCGGGTTTTGAGGGGAGCCTGGGCAGGAAAGGAAATGAGGGCAAAAAAGTGAGCCGTGTTGGGGACTTCCCTGGTAGTCCAGTGGCTTAGATTCTCAATGCAGGGGGCCTGGGTTTGATTCCTGGTCAGAGAACTAGATCCCACATGCTGCAACTAGGAGTTAGCATCCTGTGACTGAAACTAAAACCTAGCATATCCAAATATATATATGTGTGTGTGTGTGTGTGTGTATACATATATATATATATTATTTTTTTTTTTAAGTGAGCCATGGGGCGTGGGGACAGCTGGCATAGCCACAGTCCAGGGACAAAGGAGGAGAGGGGAGCCGTCAGGATTTGATACGCCCAGCCCTGCATAGGGGCATGTCTTGGGTCCATTCAGTTCTTAAGGAAGGCATAGATTTGTGGGAAAGCACGACACTGACCAGGGGCTTCCCAGTGGTAAAGGATTCGCCTGTCAATGCAAGAGGCACAAGAGAATTGAGTTTGATCCCTGGGTCGGGCAGATCCCCTGGAGAAGGGAATGGCAACCCACTCCAGTATTCCTGCCTAGAGAATCCCATGGATAGGAGCCTGGCGGGCTACAGTCCATGGGGTTGCAAAGAGTCGACAGAACTGTGTGACTGGGCAGGAGCAGGACACTGATCAACGACCAGTGAGGATGAACTCAAGTGGAAAATCCATTTCTCACCCTCTCTAACACTTGGCTCCTTGGAGAGCATCAGCAGCCAGTGGGATTCAGCTGCAAAGGAGGAGTTTGGAGGGTGAAGGTGCCCCTTGGCAGCACCCCACGTGCCCACAATGCTATGAGCCCATGGGCCTGAGCCCCAGCCGTGATGTGACCTAGAAGGAAGGGGTTAGGCACAGGATTGATCATTTTTAGCAGCCTTTGGGGTAGAAAGACCGTCAGCCTCAGAGTCGGGAAACCTGACATCATTCACAGCTATGCCTGTGTGACTTCAAGTAAGTCACTTTTCCTCTCTGAGCTTCAGTTTCTCTGTAAACAGGAGTATTTGACTAGATTCCCTCTTATGTTTCACATCTCTGTGAAAAATGTGTGAAATGGAGGTAATACCTAACTCATATGGTTGAGGTAAGGATGAAATGCATCAACACCTGCAAAGTGCTTGGACCACAACCTGGCGCAGAGTTTGATTTCAGAAAAAGCTGCAAGTTGACTAGTCTTCCTAGAAAATGAGCTGATGTAGGAAGAAAACAACCAGAAAAACCTCTTGGACATTCAGTATCTAGCATTTTTGCACCTTTCACCCTTCATAGCACTGGGCCTTAGAATCAACTGCATGTAGAAAGCGTTCCACAAATGTTTGTTGGCTGGCTGGATAGTATTGCTGCTGCTTCCTTCAGTGTAGTGTTGTGTGATCACAGAGGACCCACTGCTGTTCCCACGAGATGCAGTCGTCATGTTCAAACAGACTGAGAGATGCCAAAATCACCCTCGCAGAAAACCGTCTCTGCTGCAGAAAAAATGGAAACTGCCCCCTAAGCTCACTATGGTTGTTTTTAAAAGAAAAGGAAAAGGAAGCACCAAACAGCCAGTGTAGCACCTGGTGATTTGGAGAAGCCACCGCAATGAGAAGCCCTTGCACTGCAACGAAGAGTGGTCACTGCAACCCGTGCAACAGTGAAGACCCACTTCGGAGCTAAGGCCAAGTCTG